GTATGAAAGTTTAATCACCAAATTTATAATTTACCCTAAATAATATTGTTTGAATAAAAAATTTACCCTAAATAATATTATTTTAATAAAGAAACTCATTAAACTCCAATCCAATCCAATCCAAACCCATAAAAGCTCAGGCACCCAAAACAAAAGAAGTGCCCTCTAAAACCTTGGTCTTCCGCCGTCGCGCCTTCACTATTTTTCCCACCTTTTGCTGCCCAAACCCTAATTTCAAACCCGAAAAACACAATCGTAAAAAGGAAAGGATCGCAACCAGAAGATGGTGACGAAGATGAGACATCCATGGAGATTGCTTCTCTTCCGAAGCTACCCTCGTTCTCTTCTCCGAGTTCCCACCGTGTCCCAGGTACTCCCCCCTTGTGTTCCTCCTCGCCTCACTCCCTCGTTCCACAACGTGCCGTCTCGCTCTCATTTCACAAGCCCCTTCAACACGCTGAAAGGATTATCCATTTTAAATCATAATAACACTCCCATTAATCAGTATAGTTTCTCATCCGAGGCAGCTGTTGAACAAAAGGACTTGGATAATGTTTTGGTAACTACTGTGACTGATATTTTTACTAGATTTAGTGATAAGGATAATATAAAGAGAGAATTGGAGTTAAATGGTGTTGCTTTCAGTCATGTAATGATTTTGAAAGTGTTGAAGAATGTCGAGGCTAGTCCTGATGTGGCAATGAGTTTTTTTAATTGGGTTTTGGAGACTGATGCAGAGAGACTTAGCTCCAAGTCGTATAATCGGATGTTAGGTATTTTGGGTGTTAATGGATTGACTGAGGAGTTTTGGGGTTTAGTAGATGTCATGAAGAAGAAAGGATACGGTATCTCTGGTGCCGTGCGTGACAGAGTTGTTTTGAAGTTTGAGAAAGAAGGGTTGGAGGGTGATTTGGAGAGATTGAGAGGGGTGTTTGCTTCTGGATCAACTGACAATTCAATCGAAAAGGTTTGCTCTAGGGTTTCTAAGATTATTAAGAACGAGTTATGGGGTGATGATGTTGAGAAGCATTTGCTTGATTTAAATGTTACATTTTCAAATGATTTGGTGAAAAGGGTATTGGAAAATCTTGCTTCGGAGTCGGCAAAAGCTTTGATATTTTTCCGATGGACCGAGGAGAGTGCTTTTGTGAAGCATGATGAGCAGAGTTACAATGCTTTGGCGAGGACTTTGGGGAGGGACGATTGCATTGATAGGTTCTGTAAGGTTGTTGATGAAATGAGGAACTTTGGGTATGAAATGGAAATGGAGACTTATACAAAGGTTTTTGATCACTTTTGTAAGAGGAAGATGATCAAAGAAGCTGTAGATTTGTACGAGTCTGCAGTGGCTGGTTCCAATAAGCCTTCTGTGAGTTGTACAACCTTTCTGCTGAAGAAATTAGTGGTGAGTAAACAATTAGACATGCGTCTTTTTATAAGAGTTATAAGGACTTTTATGGAGAGTGGGAATGCGTTGACAGATTCCATAGCGGATTCAGTTCTCAAATCCTTGACTAGTGTTGGTAGACTTGGAGAATGCAACAAGGTTCTAAAAGTAATGGAGGAACACGGGTTTGTAGCCGGTGGTAATTTGCAGTCTAAAATTACTTTTAGACTTGCTAGTGCTGGTAAAAAGGATGAGGCTGCTGAGTTTATACAATGTGTTGAAGCGTCAAATACTGATTTAGATCACAAGGCATGGGTGTCTTTAATCAAAGGGTGTTGTGCTGCTGGGGATCTTGAAACAGCATCGACTTATTTTGAAACTATGGTTGAAAAAGAAGGGATCTCACATGCTGGCTATGCCTTTGAATGGTTAGTATATTCTTATTGCAGTAGGAAAAAGGCAATGGATGCGTGCAAACTTCTACACAAGTATGTAAGTGAGAATCAGTTAAGGCCACAGCATGACACCTACAAGGAATTGATAAGGAAGTTATTAGCTCAGGTTGGATTTAAAGATGCTTTGAGTCTCTTGGGTTTAATGAAAAATGATGGTTTCCCACCCTTTGTGGATCCCTTCATCGAGTATGTTTCGAAGTCTGGCAGTAGCGATGATGCTATTGCTTTGCTCAAGTCTATGACATTGAAAAAGTTTCCATCCATTTCAGTTGTTCTTCGTGTTTTTGAAGGGTTTTTTAAAGCTGCAAGGCCAAATGAAGCACAAGATTTATTATCAAAATGCCCAAGTTACGTTCGCAACAATGCTGATGTCTTGAATCTCTTTTGTTCCATGAAATCAGGTCAAGTTGTTGCTACACCTGCTGTTGTTGCTTAGACTTCATTGGCTGTATTTCTTGATGTACTACTGTCTATGGCTTTTGTTCCTAATTAAAATTGTGTTATCTTGGCTGTCAACATGCCTGGCTGACTGATTAAGAAGAAAACAAAATATTCGAGTTTTTTTTTGAATTTTCCTAGACTAGCTTTTTGAATGGCATATGGTAGCAATAAGCTATTATTATATTATTTTTATGGATTGAAGGGTTTTAAGCGTATGCATTTTTTGGGTCATATTTAAGCCTTATGTATTGAGTGAGTGTTTGAAGTATGAAATTTAAAGAGGTAAAATTTTAGATTATGGATTTATATGGATCTGCTTTTGAAGTAGATATTTCAGAGTGGAGCTTCACCATGTCCAACCCCAAGAGGTAGAATCTCTGTAAGTAGGACTTTCCTTTCATTTCTTGTATCGAATGATCCTATTATCCACTTGCCAAGGTGATTGCGAATGATAGTACCAGCGCCAGCTCTTCCTAGATTTCCAAAGGTGGCACCATCCCTCCAGGGATTCATTAAACGGACTGGAACAAAACAACGAAAAGGTCGGATCTTTACATGGAATACATTAGCAAAGAATCAACTGCTTTGTAAAGCTTCAGGAGGTCATTAAGGTCCATCAATTGACCGAGGGTAATAGCGTTGCGTGTTAACAATATTTCCCATAGGGCGAAGCAGAACAACACCCAGGGTATTTTTTATCCAAATTTGCAAGGAGTCAGTCATTTCCCCCAGTCGTCATTGCTTCTAAGAACACGTTGGTTGTGTTTCAGGATTTTTCTCCACCAGCCTCGAGTGATTGCGCATTCCCTCGTGAATCATGATATGCTTAAGTGATTCTTTGGTGTTATGGTAGGAGCTGGGTGATGCGCTGTTCATACCTCCGTGGGGGTGGGGCTTTAAGAGAGAATTTCCTAGTGAAGGACCGAAACTTAGGTGGAGTCTAGTTTTCCAGACGATGCTCCAAAGTTGCTATTTGCTAGATATCGATGATATTTTACACTAAAATTTCTGGAACGGTTCATCTAATAAGATATCAATATCAATTCTTAGGAAATTGATAAATATGTACTGTTATCGATAATGTTTTAAAATTATAGAAGTGAGCAGTTGAAATTAGATTTTTATTTTAAAGGAAGATATTCAGAATATTTTAATTTTTATATTTATTATTCATTTATTTTTATATAATCCTTAAAAGTAAATATAACTAAACTCTTAAATTTAAAATTAACAAGAGCGAAATATATATAAATTTAGGATTAACTATACAAATGATCACTAATGTTTAAGTTTTTGTTTTTTTCACAGAAGTTTTAAAAGTAAAATTCGGTCACTGAATATTCTCGATGGGTAACAAATTAGTCACTCGACATTAAAACATTCGTTAACATGGGTGGCAGAAAGCTGAGCCGAACCGTTAATTGCTTATATGGTTTGTTGATTGCTTACGTGGCCGGTTGATCGGTAATTTCTTTCACCTTTAAATAAAAACCCAAAGCGAAACCACCATAACCGCTTCAGCTCGGCACCATTGTCCCTCCACCTTCTGTCAACTTTTCGTGTGGTTTAATCGAAGGAAATATGAGATAAAAAATCGTAAAGCTGATATTTGGTTTGTATATCTTCACTAATTCTAATTTACGTACAAAGGAAGATGAAAGCATGGCGGGAAATAGGCGTCAATAGGAGGTGGAATATGAAGAGATTCTTCATTCTGAAGTATGTGAAAGTCCAACTGGAATGAGAGATATAACACCCAGATTTCGAACCTAGTACACATTGTCATCTTTCCCGTATCTATTATTAAGCTCTTGCATCCCAAATTTCAAAACTTGAACACCCATGCAAGAAAAGAAACCCTCTAGTGACATGGAAGGAACCAAGAGAACCTCTTGGGTCATTTTCAAAAAGAGTTTTAAGGTGGTCCCAACAGAAGCAAATTTAAGTTTGACACCCTTTGATTCATATATGACAACTGATAAAATGTTCTTTATGCTAGCAGGGATTGACAATATTTAATGGGTTCGAAATTTGGGTGTTATTTCTCTCATTTCGGGGGGACTTTCACATACTTCAAAATGGAGAGTCTCTTCATCCTCCACCTCCCATTGACTTCCATTCTCTGCCATGCTTCCATCTTCTTTTTTACGTAAATTAGAATTAGTGAAGATACACAAACCAAATATCAGTTTTACAAATTTTTATTTCATATTTCCTTCAATTAAACTACACGAAAATTTGACAGAAGGTGGATGGACAATAGTGTTGAGGGCTTTTATTTAAAGGTGAAAAAGATAACCAGTCAACCGATCAATTAAGCAATCAATAAAACCAAGTAAGCGGTTAACGGTCTAGCTCAGCTTTCCGTCACCCACGTTAATGGCTGTCAATGTCGAGTGAGTAATTCGTTACAAATCGATAACATTAGTGTCCGGTTTGTTACTTTTGAAATTTCAGTGAAAAAACAAAAGATTACTCAAACATTAGTGATCATTTGTGTAATTTACTCTTAAATCTATGATATATTATAACAAGAAGTCAACAACAACAACACTAATTTATTTATTTTAAAAAATGATAATTTTACTTAAAATTTAGTAAATAGAAATATTTTAAATACATTAATTAGAAAAAAATCCACTGATGCCAAATTTTATTATCCAACAAAAGTAGACGGATGGCTTAGTCCAAATCCTAAATAACCAAAAATACAGATACCAGGCCAAACAAAACTGACCGTACGCTGAGGATTTGCATTATTTCAATAAAGCTTTTGAAATCAGTTCAATCAGCCCTTTGAATTTTAATTGCATCGCCCCCGACTTTCCCCGCCTCTCCCAAATAAAACCCCCAAAATTTGGTAAGCCGACACCGCGTTGGATTGACGCTCACAAAACACACACACAAAAAAGGAAAATTCTCAAAGCTTCCATTAAAACACTCACCCGAATCTTCCTTGCCGTTGCCTTGATCCTTATCTGTTTGTTTTTGATGTTGTATTCTGATAATAACCAAACGAGGAAAGGAGCAAAGAGAAAAGCAGCCTCACAGAAACAAGAGGATACGCAAATAAAAGCTTCACAACTGAATCAAGAGGAGAACCATAAACCTGCTCCCAAAGCTAAGCGGGCTAAGACCTCCAAGCCTCAAACCGAGCCTGAGTACTTTGAAGATAAGCGTAACTTGGTATAAGATTTCTCCGCCTTGTGTTCTTCTATTATTGTTGTTGGTTAAGGTGAAGTTTTGAATTTGTTGTTATTTTGCCAAATAGGATTGCCTTTAGGGATTTATTTTTTTTCATGACTTCACTGTTTAGGTTTATTCAATATCTGAACGAATGCGGCGCTAAAAGGCTTAGGTTATTCGTTGACTTCTCCGGATTTGAATTTTGAACTGTTGATTCTGGTTACGCTGCGGTTACAAATTTGAGTTGTGATACGCTCGTCTTCTCGTGTGAAGATTAAAGCTGAAATGGATGCAAATTTAGAGCTTGAATAATTATCTATTTGAGATGATAGTGAGGAAAAGTCTTGCTATGTTTTTTGTGATGTTGATTAAAATTGTCAATTTGCATTGTGCAGTAGCCGCATTCCCTGTTGGAACTGAGGTTGGAATTTTGAGCTTGGCTTGTTTAGTTTTTGTTTTTGGTTTGTCTCTTTTGATAAATTTAAATTCTATTGCTAACAGTTTCTTCTTTTTCTTTTGTTGTGGCAGTGGGATTAATTGGACACTGTTTACCAATACAACTGGAACTTTTCAAATCTAGAAGTCAGTTGAAAAAACTTACATTTTTTTGTTGCTTTTTCTGTTCTCATCTTTAGTTCCTTGCTTGCTGCTTCTGTTTTCCCCATTTAAAGCTAACAGGATTTTTTACTGTTCTGTTTCTGGTCAGGATGCATTTGAAGAGGGGGGAAAGCTATATGGAAAGAAGGTTTATCTATTTGGTTGCACAGAGCGTAAGTAGCTCACAGCTTTGGTCCTTTTGTTTCACACCTTTATATAGACAATTTTCAATTCCTCGAGGGAGAAAATGTTTTTTATGCCATTGGCTGCATTGTTTATTTTATTTTTATATAACTTATGCTGCCTTAAGAAGAAAGAAAGTTTTTGTGCGGTTTCCTGATTTGTGTGAAGTTCCCATAAGTTTCTTTTATGAACATTGAAGTTTCAGTTTCTTCTGATCTTGTCCTTTTTGTCCATCTATTACACTTATTAATTTAATGTTTTTCCTTTTGTGCAGCTCAATTTAGTCTCTCACAAGGGAGAAAACAAAGTCATTTGTATCCCCGTGGTTGTGGCTATAAGTTGTCCAACATGGCTGTGAAGTGCTTTTAATGTTTTTCACGCTAAGCCAATTTGAGGGGTGTTTCTTTCTTTTTTATCTTGTGATAAATGGTCAAAGTGATTGCAGCTTTTTTTATGCTGAAGGCTTATTGAATGGTATCTTTATGTGGCTTTGCAGTTACCTATTCACTTCACCTCGATAGTTGTGGACATGATTTTGTTAGACATTAGGTTTTTGATGATCATCTCAAACTGCATGTGAAATGATTCATTTTCCATATGATTTATTTTTATTAGTGCAAAAAGCCATTTCAATCTATTATATTTTCTTTTGATGGAAGGGTACCTTGTTTTTCCTTATTTAATTTGGACAAATTAGCAACAGTCTAGAATGTTGTGAGTTATAAATACTCTTTCAATTTAGTTTTCTTTTATAATTAATAAGCGAATACTTGTTTTAGCAGTGGTTTGTTATTTTCTGCGACTGCAATGGCATTATTATTTATGGTTTATGAGATTAATTTGCTTAAAGTAGTTGTTTACTTGTTTCCGTTATGATCTTGTATTTTCTTACTGAATAATATTTGACTTTTGCTGGTTCTTTTCAGGTTGTCTCTCCTTTCCCACCTTCAGATAAGATTGGGCTTAACTCAGTGCAGAGAGAAGCTGAAGAGATTGTTCCTATGAAACAAATGAAAATGGATTGGGTTCCATACATTCCACTTGACAATAGGTACTCAGTTTTTATCTTTTTTTTTATCAGATTTAAAGTTCATATGGACGAGTTGTTTAATTTAATTCATCCATATGATTGGCCAAGTTGATAAATTGAAATATCATCTATTTTTTGTTCTGTTTACTTTTGAGTATGAATTGACCTAGAACCAAACTGTGAGGTGATTTGTACATTTTGATTCCTCTACAGAGCCAGCCAAGTAGATAGACTGAAATCTCAGATATTCATCTTAAGTTGCACTCAAAGAAGGTACAGTTGTCAACACTATCCTTGCTAATGATTTTCCCCTTTTCTTTAACATGAGATTACCAACTAGAGTGTTCTTCAAAAAAAGAAAAGAAAAAAAAAGGAGAGATTATCAACTAGAGTAAATCAACCACTGTGTCTTCATTTCAACTGTTCCAGTATGATATTGTTAACTTTGGTCACTTCTGCTTTGCTTGGTTCTCTCTAAAGAAATTGCTATTTTATTTAGACTTGAATATTGTGTGTGAGGACCCCAGGAAAAATGGGGTTCAAGTATTGGATGAGGTTTGCTTATTTTTGCAAACAGTTCACTGAATGAAAAGTGCTGATGCTCTTTGAAAATAACAATATAGAACTTGTGGTCATTCACAGAGTTTTCAACTTTTTCTTATCAATGTGTATTTCTAACTTTTGGATCTTTCTGGATGTGTGGTTTCGCACTAAATTTCTGTCTATAAAGGGCTATTTCATGTCCATGATTGCAGTGTTTTAAAAAGCGCGCCTGAGGCGCTAGGCGAGGCGTTTAGAAAAAAGCCTCCGACCACCAAGGCGGCAGCGAGTACATGAGGCGGCGATTCAGTCGTCGGAGGCGACGAGGCGATGCTTTTAGCGATTCTCGTACAATGACCCATTTATGTTCTGAGGAGACAGTATTAGGTGGAGTTCCAGGGCAGCAGATTGTGTCGGGGGTTTGTTTGATGGGAGAGAAAGGAGTTTAAGCATGAGAGTTGTCACCTTGGGCCAAGATAAGGCTGATCAAGAAGATGGGCGCAATGTTAAAACAAGTATGTTAGAAGTTAGTGGGCTGCCAGTTGGCAGTGATAATAGGACAAAAATAAGTGGGAAGCACGTGGGTCTGGAATCGAGAAATACAAACTTCTCGGATGATTCTGCACGTTCGGTTGACTATGGTGTTGCACCTACTTCAATTAGGAAATCCAACCATACTGGGCCTGTTAAGTGGGTTGGGAATGAGAAGTCTATTGGGGGGCAGAATGGTGAGTTGCAAACTGAAACGGATGATGTTTTGATCCAGTGGCAGTCTGTAGGGCTGAGTAGGGGTGACGGGGATCATGGTGTCAATACAATTATTTCTGGAATCCAAGAGAGGGGGAAAGGTTCTGTGGAGCTCAAAAGAAGCGCCTCGCGCCTTTTAAAACATAGGGTGATTGTTTGATACTTATTTTAGGTTATGAATTTCTGTGTTGTATAGATTGAAAAATTATTTTGAGCAAGCTTATGGGCTTTAGATTTCTTCATCTAGATCATATATGTTCTCTCTCTGAATGTGGGGTATATGCGTGTTCCTAATGCATGCATGTATTTTGGTTAACATTTTTTGTATTTGGAATTCCTTCTGCAGAGTTGCTTTGAAACAAATGAAAATAGAACGTCTCAAGAAATATGAGTATTGTTTGCCATGTAAGTTTTGCAGATATCTGTATCCCACATATTATGTAAAATATGAAAAGCCAAAAAGGAAAAAGAACCCTTATTTATTGCTAAGTTGTTTGGCATGCCTCCACTGACAGATTTCTATCAGCTTTTGAAGGAAGATGAGCTTGAACAAAACACTGAGGTTCAAATAATATTTCTAGCAGAACCAAAGCCGGTAAAGTTTCTGTATCTACTAAGGAAATTAATTATTACTAACACTGGACTTTTTGGCTATTAGTGAGTGGATGGAGTTGATTTTAGGGTTTGAGCTTAACATGTTTTGATTGAACTGTTACATTCACTGCAGTTGGAACCTCTATTTTAAGGCTCAAGGCTCAAATAGAGGTGCTCCTATGAGTGAGTAAAAAGCTAATTGCTAAAATGTTTATTAACACAAAGTCATATACTTATGTATTATGTGTCTGTGACACTCCAATGATCAAATACTTTTTGAGTTTTGAAGTTCAAACCGTATGGAGGCCAAGGTTTCCACATGTACTATTGCATATTTTATGCTTGTAAACTTAATTATAGAAGCATTACTAAGAGCTTTGCTTAATTTTCCTTTGCTTAGACATTATCCTTTTCAACAAATAGAAATATATACTTGTCAAAGGAAAATAGATGAAAAAAGGGAGCTTATTTGAGCTTTGCCTTGAACCTTAAGTACTTGATTGAGAATTGTCCGAGGTATTTTTCTAGACTTAGTTGTGCCTTAGTGTCTAGGCGATTACTCCTTAATTAACTGCATGTAATCATTTTCAAATGGATAACTGAGGCATCTATTCTGCAAGGTGTTATGTAAATTACTACATCCTTTCTGCTCCTGCAGGTATTTTGTGAATTTGACTGGGAGTTGGATGAACTTGATGTAAGCTTAACTCTTTTCATTTTTATGTTACAGTCTAATTTAGCATGATCTTTTGTGAAGTTTGAATTATATGAACGTGTAGCTTGGAATTTGTTTTCAGTTTCAGTTCCTTGCCGCGGACTTCAGTCTTTGGCTGTTATTTACTTGTAATAGGAATTTCTGTCTAAATTATATCTACCAATACGCAGGAGTTTACTGATAAATTGATTGAGGAAAATGAATCAGATAAAGATCAGAAGGATGCCTTTAAGGTGAAGTTGTTTGAATATCCACCAATTAATTGTGGATTCATGTATTTATAACTGATTTTCAGCCTGACATGCTTTTGTTTTTGTAGGAGTTCGTTAAAGAAAAAGTTAGGAAAACAAAGAAAGCTAATCGGCAGGTATTCATTGGTAACAGTGCATCTTGACTTGTAAAAATATATTTTGGACAGGATGAGTAATTCGAGCGATTCATTTCTGCAGGCAAGGGAAGCCCGCAAAAAGACCCTTGAAGAAATGAGTGAGGAATCTAAAGCAGCATTTGAGAACATGAGATTTTACAAGTTCTACCCTGCTCAAACTCCGGATGCTCCTGATGTATCAAATGTGAAGGTAAGGTGTTATAATTTACTCCTGATGTAATTATTTATTTTGTTATTTGTTTTGTTGTGCTGATTATTTTCTAGACGGGTTTATTTATATTTTTTAGGTGAGCAGTTTTTTTTGTGTTGGTAGTAATCTTGTTCTTTGAGCTTGTCACATAATTTATCAAGTTCTTTTCATTTCTGGGATTATTTTAATCGATGATAAAAATTAATCACATGGTCTGCATTAAATATGCTGCAGCATCTTCTTTTTTTTTTTGATAGAATAGGGAGACCTCTTTAAAAACTTCGAGCATTGGAAGGAGGAAAAGAGTGTCTCATAAAATTTATTGAACCTTTGAAAATTACAACTTAGATTACATCAGAAACATACAACCACGAAAACCAAACACAGCAAAAAAAAAACCTAACTATAGCATAGGACCTACACACAACCCCTCTCAACCAATGTCTTCTTTAGCCAACTTATCCGCCTCCCAATTTGCCCCTCTAGGAATATGCCTGAACATCACATCTTTATCCCTAATAAACTCTAAAATTCCATTCAACAACAAACACAGTTGATTCGGACAACCCCTCAAATTCTTAATCCAATTAACCACAACAAGACTATTACACTCAACAATAAGTCTTCCTTTACCACCCCATTGGGAAACAAAGAAAAGATTCAAACCCTTAATAATGGCCAACTTTTCAGCAGCTGTAGGAGACCCTTTACCAATCGCCTCAGAGAATGAAGCCAACGTAGAACCCCTTGAATCTTTAATAATCTCTCCTATACCACCTTTCATCCAATCATCCGTGACAACACCATCCACATTTAATTTGTAGAAACCTTCAAGAGGCGGAACCCACCGAACTCGATTGACCACCCTATTCCCCTGACTTCCACATCTATCCGCAACCGAAGGATCCCCATAAGACAATCGAAGAAACCCGAAAACTCTTTGTATTTTGCAGTGTACCATGCCACCAGTCTGTATCTAGCTAGGAAAAACAGACTGATCTGATCCACCGACCCACCTTCAAACACTATTTTGTTCCTGTACTTCCAAATAGACCACAAAACAGCCCCGAGAATAACTTTCCAAATATCAGAGTTCAAAACCAATCCCCACCAAACTTGCAGGAAAGAATTAGGGCCAAAATGTAAACATGATTGAACATTCCAAATTCTTAAGAATCTACACAACACCCAGGAAACATTACATGTAAAGCATCTCTAAAATGGTAAAATTTGTTGGATTACTTTTTCTGTTGGTTGTGTTTTATATTTCTCTATAACTAGGAAATCGAATGAGTTGCACACTCCTGTTTCTTGCCATTGTTTTATCTCCTTTAAGCCAGATACAATGTAACAACCGTGACTTCTACGTAGATTCTTATGACTGCTATTTATTTTGCTTCAAATTTTCATTATTCTAGAAATGATTATTGACGCCTGAGATCTACACATATGGATACGGGTATGGTGATATGACCCTCCAAATGCATGGAAAAACTAAGATGTAAAAACTTGGAAAAAATTTAAACATACCTATATCAGACACTTATACTCAAGTCCAAGTATAGTTCATGATGTTTCTTATAATGCAAACATAGATTGGTAAATTTCAATTAATATCCATGTCACTTATTGAATTTGTATTAAATCTTAATCAACTTCTTTTGTATTAGAATGAAATCATAACCAGCTCAATTTGTCTTCATGTTGTGAAGTTTATGAATAAAATAATTTTTTTTACAGTCTGAGAGCTCATCTTCAGTAATGTTGTCCACTAAGATCATGCTTAAACAATATCATTTTTAGGATTTAAAATGTCACATTTATATTTTTAATAAGCAGAGTCAACAAGTCATAATAAATTCCCCATTACTAATTTTATTAAGAATATAATAATATGATTGACAAATTTCTTAATTTGCTTTGGATGTTTTGTGATTCTTTCTTGCCGTCTTATTTCATAAAAAGGTATTATGGGAGGCTCACGAGGTTCTTTAATGGATGTCTCATTCAGGATCTAGTGTAAGTTGTTGAGAGATGCTCTAGAGCTCGTGTCGGCTTGCAAGGGCATCATATGTTGCATTTTTCTGTTACTCGGAAGCTTTGGGAGCATTCATTCGTTGCCCCATGAGGCAGGTATCTTAGGAGAAAAATTTTAACTTGTAGCTTTATTACTCTCTAGATAATTAAGCATATACTCATCTTGTGACAATAGGAGGAATTTGTAGAGTACTATGTTGAGGCATTTTCGAAAAGTTTTGAAAGATCTCTTTAAGCTCAAGGTGCTTAAAGTCCCGTTGCAGCTTGAGTATGTCTTTGTTTTATCCGCCATAGCTGTTTTTTTTTGTTCCGACTTAATTGTACTATGAACAAAGTCAATGAGAAAAACTAGCCAGTTGTGTATTTCTATTTTAAACTCTGAGAATCTCATGCTTTTGGAATGCCCTATGTTTTTGTAATATCCCAAATTTTGTCTAGTAACTAAAATGTAAGTTTTGAAAGTTTAATGGCTAAAGTATAAATTTTAAAAAGTTTAGGGACCAAAATTATAATTTTTAAAAGTTATATATTTTAGTCTGTAAATGAACAATTTGGATTAAAACATAGATAGTAGTGGGAATCAGATTTTTAGTACAAGATTTGTGTTAAAAGTTATAAAGCGGCAAAGTTCAGTAAAAAAATTATGAGTTGATCTCACATCTTTAACTTGTATATCGATAATTATACAGGTTAAGGTGTTATATTTATTGGTATTAGAACTGTAGGTTTAGTCGATTCTCGACCTAAACTGAGTTTATTTTATATCAAAAATATATATATGCCATTAGGATGTTGAAATTATTGATCTGGTACGGTCTGATGATTTTATTTAAGATGATGCTCTTTACTAACATAATGTTATGTGTTTGTGGTTAGATGTTGAATGCAGAGGGTTTTAGAAGAGCTACTGAACAGGAGGTTCTTGAGGGAACCGATAGTGAAAGTAGTAATGAATTTGAGCATGAACATCAACAGCAAAGAGCACAGGCACAACATGGAATGTCGTTCTAGATCAGGGGACTTTCTTGCAAGCTCTTGAGGTTATATTAGCAAGATATCAGCCAGTGGAAACACCACCCCTTCCTCACCTCTACCTTCTGCTCCTCCAGCTCTGAGAGTGTCAATTCCAAAAGAATTAAAAAATCTGGGAACTTCTGAATTTAAAAGTGAAGCAGAAGAAGACTCAATTATGGTGGATATATGGCTGAATGATGTGAAGATTATATTGGATAGTCTTCATTTGTTCTGAAGAAAAATGATTTGAAGGCGTAGTTCATTGTTGAGAGGACATGTCAGGATTTGGTGGACATATGTTATGACACATGTCCCTTCAGATTAGATTTCTTGGCAATTTTTCCTTGAAGGTTTCCAAAAGAAATATATTAGAGAGCAGTTTATTATTAAGATGAAACAAGAATTTTTTAATCTAATCCATGGAAATAAATTTGTTTATCAGTATGAATGCGACTTTAATAAGCTCGTCCAATATGCTTTGGAGATGGTCCTCACAGAAAGAGATGTATGACAGAAGTTTATTTGAGGTCTTCGCCCCAAGCTGAGTGAACTTTTGTTGATTGTCAGTTTGACTACCTTTCAGGAATTGGTAAATAAAGCTAAGGATTTGGAAATGACACAAAAGGAAAGATTTATGTTTGATTAGAAGAGATTCAAATAGATTAGGAGGTTCATTCTCATCTCATTCTAAAAGAGGTCGAGGTTCAAAATATTAGTACTAGAGTAAATCAGAAGTCGATGCTTTTAGTCGTAGAGGATCCGAGGCTAAGGAAAAAGGGCGTCAGGCACAAACAGTGGCTACAAGAACTAGCAGACTAAGTCTCAGGCACAACACCCATTATGTCTGCGGTGTGGAAAGTATAATCCTGATAAATGTAAAGCATAATAAGGAGTTTGTTTTCGATGTGGGGATCCTGGTTATTATTCAGAGATTGCCCGATGGTATGAGAGAGATATGTTCAGATAGAGCGATCAGTAGTAATGCCTCAGAGACGTGGTCAAGGTAGAGGTAGAGGGAGATGATATTAAGAGACAGTCTCCCAGTCCGATGTTCGTGCTTCAGCCAGAATTTATAATATCAAGATAGTGAGGATCGTGACGACCCAAAAATCATAGCATGTACTTTCTATCTTTATAATGAGCCTGTTTTTGTTTTGGTTGATCCGGGTTATATGCATTCCTATATTAGCTCGGAATTAGTTAAAAATAAAAATATTCAGCTAGAACCCATCAATAGTGAGATAATAATTGTAAATCCATTGGGTCATAGTGTTAGAGTTTCACGAATTAGTATAAATTGTCTGGTAAAGATTCAAGGGGTTGTATTCTCGACGAAGCTATTGAAGTTACCGTTTAACGAGTTTGAGATTATATTGGGCATGGATTGATTATCTTGGCATTATGGTTGGGTAGATTGTCGCATGAAGTGGTTATTTATAAGAGATGTAGAGGGTGCCGAAATAATAGTAATTGGAGAAAAATCAAAATCTTTGTCCAATGTGTTATCAGCAATGACATCCATGACCACTCCGCATCTATGTTTCCACATCAACTGGCACGCCGCTGCAAATCAAGTGTAGATGCTCGTTTTTGTCCGGGGTTAAGTCGGAGCAGACCCGAAGCAGAGCAGTTGGAGGCCCAATCCAATGATCAAGCCCAATCCACGTGAAATCCTAAACAATTAAAAAGGCGGTTATTGAGAGTTAACCAAGGCAAAGTGGAGGAAAGGGGTCAGTTTTAAGGGATTAACTACTGGAAATTGTGGGGGTCTGTTTTTTTTACACAAGAGAAGAGAAAAGAGAAGCAAAAAAACAACACTTTCGATAGTCAAAGATCAAGCAATGTAACAGAGGCTCGATCATCGTCTTTCGGGAAGGCAATAGCAAGCAAAGAACAATTCATTTGAAGGTGCAAAAGGATCGGACCTTGTGTTTGAAGCAGTAGTGGAGGCAGAGGTGGCTCGTAACGCCAAGGAGTTCTTTTCTCTGCCTCAAAATCAAATACAATAAATAAGAAGGTATTTCCTATTTAGTCATCGTTATCATCCGAGCAGTATAATCATATTTCTTTCCCTGCTTCAAGATCAAAATATGTCTTGCTTGTTCATCCTTGCCAATTAATTCAACTTATCCCGTGCTTTGATATACGCTAGGCTTTCTGTATGATTTATTTCTTTACTTTTATTTCAAGAAGTTTTCTTTACTTTTGAGTTGAACTCTTTGGCGTCGGCTCTCGATGTCCGTAATCTTGCTCGAGTCCTAACTGTGTATATAGTTCTAGTATCGATGTAGCATTATTGTTAGGCGTTTAACATACATTAGAAAAATACCATAAGGGAGAAATGGTTCTTGGTGATTGACCTGATAGAGCTTTATTTGGTAGTTTCACTTAGCTCTAACCACCAAACTTGTATCATATTACGTTGTATATTTTATTGCATTATGTATATATATATAGGATACATGTAATTTCATTATGCCATGTTTCAATGCTATGCGTATAGGCTATTTAAGTTATACTTATTATTTTGTAAACACGATTTATTATTTTATAAATATTAATTGGGCATGTATTGTATGTTATAATTAAGGGTGAAATCATATTATTTTACTAAAAACATATGTAAGTTGTGCGGATAATGTATTCTATGCGATGGTTGCCCTTTTTATTTGTATATTAATATTGTTAATTACATTATACCTGTTTTGTATAATATGTATGAAAACCTCATTTGCATAACTCGACATGTTACATAATTGGATTAAGGGTAATACACTTTTAATTTTAAATCGTTCTAAGCGGGCTGTCTTAACTGATTAGAGGTTCGTTTCTAACAATTTTAAATTAAAAGTGTATCCCATCAATGACACCTAAAAAATGATCTATCATTTTAAAATTTGAGAATGGAAGAAAAAGAAATGTTCGTTTGTTTAAATTTATCGAGAAAAAGTTGTTATAACTTTTAAGATCTAGTCTCGATATTTGTAAATAATTGAACATTCTTTATCTTTCTAAAACGACTCGGTAATTTTAATTTAATTTATTTGAGTGCTTTTGAATGTTTTTAAATTTACATCTTTGTTTTATGAGATCAAAAATCAAATTGAATTCGAATTCGTAAAGTTCATTGCAAAGACGCCAATTAATCGACTAGGTACCGTTTTAGGGCGTTGTGGGGGTGCTAATCCTTCTTTGCACGTAATCGACTCCCGAACTCGGATTTTGGTAACGCATACCTTAATTTGTTGTTTTAATTAAAAAAAATTATTTAAAATAACAAACTTTTTGGGTGCCCAATCATACCCTAATCAAGGATTGGTGGCGACTCTTCGAACCGTTTTTTTTCTTTCTTAAAAGAAATTTAAAAATTTTCGAAACGAGAGGTTTTTTAAATCGTATTTGTTTTTAAATTAAAAATCAATTGAAAGAGGTAAATTAAAAATTAATGTGGTTTTCAAAATCTCACTTTTTTTCACCTTTAAGAAAAAATCGTTTCGATAGCTTGGCGATTCCACTGGGGACCTTTTTTAGAGAGTCAGGCCGATAGTCGATTAATTAATTGTCTTTGCAATTGAAAGTTATAAATTCGTTTTAATTTGGTTTTTGATCCCTTGTTTGGTTTTTAATAAGTTTTGTTTGTATTTTGATTTCTTTAATTTAATTCGATTGACAATTAAATAGTTGTACTAATCTGTTTGCTAATGATTTCAGAATAATTGTGTGTTTTGTGAATTGATTTTGAGTGTTTTTATTGTTTGTTTGTTTGTTTTTTTTTTCGCTTTTTCTCACACACTGCACAGTTGTATTTTCATGACATGAGCTAAAACCCCGCTCCGTCCTAATTAAGTAGAAGTGAGAAACTATGCCCTCGTGTGGTTTTCACCTCCGCATGGGATAGTGGATCGCTCCTGGAGCTCACGCCTTATGGTCCTCGTGATGGTATTTACCTCTGCACGGACATAAGGAGGTGTATTCCCTCGAAATTGATCTCGATCCCCTAAAGCCTGTGATGGGCCAGGAATGAGGGTTCGACAACCCAAGGAGGCACCGACAAAGACAATTCGAGAACCTATTACTTTAGAACCGAACCCAGCATATAGTGAACATAGATCCTGAATTTAGGTCGAGCCTAGCCCGAACCTTAAGAGTTCCGTGAGGAGGGAACACAAGGAAAAATTGTTTGAGTCATTTAATTTCGTTTTTTGAATAAATGCATGCGAACTAGAAATCATGCGGCTAGGTTTATTTTTATCGAACAAGCTTGCGAATTAGATATAATGCAGCTAGGATTTTTTGGGTAGGATTTGCTAAAGCATGATTGGGTAGCCAACATGTGAGGGTAGGTTTTATTTAATGACTTTGATACTTATTATTTTGTTGTTTATATTATGTGTACTAACCCATTTTTGTTTTTATGTCTGTTTTATTTTGGATTTAGTGCATTTGCATCTTCTTCATCGAAAGGTGTTAATTCACAAGTGATTGACTAATAAGAAGGCTGGTCATAATGAGACAAGAAATTCTTAACCATGTAATCAAAATCGGGAGATTCAGAGGCGTTCAGATGATTCATGAAAAAGGACATCCGATGAATGAAGAAATTTGAACCTGACTGAAGAGCGATTCATAAAGAAGGACATCCGATGAATGAAGAAATTTGAAACTGATTGAAGACCGATCCATAAAGAAAGATATCCTGAAGATGTTCCCTCAGGAGATAGATGCAGTAATGCCAAAGACGAGAAGACCCTTTACAAAGACGTGAAGAGCACTTTCCATTGAAAGTGGAGATGGAGATCCCAAGATTCAATTCAAGGACAACCGATTTCATCAAATGTGATAAAATACACCGACCATTTTGGAGATGCAATGCCAGATTCCATGAAGAGTACGGTTCAAGGAAATGAAGAATCACAATTGTATTTTGATTACATGGTGTAATGAAATCTTGTTGTCTAAATGAAGGTTGTTCTATAGTGGTCACTTTTGGGATTAACACCTTTTGCATTTGCATTTGCATGTTGCATCCACATTTGCATTCGCATCGCTTTAATTTAAGCACTTTTACACGCATTAATCATGAAAACGTGAGAGTAACTCGTGAAGGATACTATGACAGAAGCTCTGAAAGCAAATTAAAGTTACCTTGAGACGTGTTTCTGGAAAGATAGACAACAATGAATGAGATCTTAGCACGAGTTAGTAAGATCGAGAGAATTCAAGAATAGCTCGTAAGGACTCAACAAGAAATGATTGATGAAGCAAGAAAGTTCCAAGTTGAATCCAGGGGACAGATGTCCAAGTTGATGAGCATGATGATTACAGTGATATATGGGGAGAAATCATCAGATGACCCTATTACACAAGAAAATATGAAGACTTCGGGTGAGAATCTGAATGTTAATGGTGCAACCAATGTGATGATAGCAAATGATCAAGAACAGATGAAGACTTCAGGTGAGAATCTGAATGTTAGTGGTGCAACCAATGTGATGATAGCAATTGATCAAGAACCTGTTAGGGGATGTGGTAATTCAAGTCAACTCCAAAAATCAAGTAAGATTCCAGAAGATGCCACGGAGATCATACTGGGAAAAGCAAAAGTTAAGGGTGAAACTTCTAATACGAAAGTAGAACCGGACTCAAAGAAAAGAGGCATAGAGGAGGTTCAAGTGTCAGTAAAGAAGGCCAAAAAGAATAGAAAGAAGAAGAAGAGGACACCTATGGTTCCGATTCCGATCTCATATTCAGACTTGTTACCCTTTCTCTTTGAAAGTGGGCTTCTAAAGCCTTTTCCTCCGAGGTACAATACTTATTTGCGTTCAGACTGGCAAGGTGTCAAGAAATCATGCGGTTATCATTCTAATGAGTTTAGCCACTCTACAGAAGATTGTACGATCCTGAGATTTAAAGTTCAAAACTTCATCACAGAAGGGTTGTTATGCTTTGAAAATGGAAAACCTAAGCTCCCCGGAAGCTCAAAACTTATCGATGAAGGGAGATTTGCAAATCAATGTCTCTCCCAAGATGTTGGTCAAACATTAAACCTTCAAAGCGAATGTTCCAGTGGTCAGTCACAAGGTCTTCAATATGATCATAATAACGGCAAGGAGAAAGTGGGATCAAAAGAGTTTTCATATAGCCAGATATATCCAAAGTTGC